GAGGATGTAACAGTTTGGTGACTCAGTAAATGTGTGTGTTATCAATTAGATTCTTAGTCTTGGTCATTTGTCCTTCCTCCTTATATAATTTGCAAATTGCAATTGACAGTTTCTTAAATTTGATGAAATGTGCTATGTAAGAAAATTTCATTCAGTGGGAAGATTTGTGTTATTTTCTGTGTTGTTGTGTCTTTGGGGATCAAAAGTTCCTGCCAAATTGTTGGTTAAAAGAGAGATAGCAGGCATCATTGCAACCATTTACATTAAGACCATTCTTTACTCTCTACCATTTAATCTCAGATATAAGGCCATCACTAATAGGAATTGAATCAATAACAGAGAGGAATACTGACTTTCACTTACTTGAATGTCGGCACATATGACAAGAGGGTAGCTTTGCCATGCAATCTGGACTGGTTGCTCCCTTTATAATCATCCAGGGCATTCCCTTCCTCACCTCTCTTCTTGTGTTGGACCACATTTACTATTGCTCATGTATTCTCTTTCATGGTCAATTTCATTTTGGTAGAGCATCTCACCAATGCTTCCTGGGAGCAGGAGATGAGAGATAACCTTTCAAAAATAACTTATGTCTCAAAATGTCTTTATTCCAATCGTCCCATATTTGCTTATTGTTTTGGATGAGTATAGGAATCTGGATTGGAAATAATTTTTCTTCAGTATTTTTAAAGCATTGCTGTGTGTGGTTAGTTCCTGGTGGTGATGTTAGAGGGTGCAAGCCATTATATTCCTAATTCTTTGCATTCAACCTGCTTTTTGTTTATTTTGTTGTTGTTGTTATTTTTTACTCTAGAAACTATTAAGTTTTTCTCTTTGTCTGAATTTTTGTACAATGTTACAGTGATGTGCTTTACTGTGGGTCTGCTTGCTTACATTGTGTTGGGCACTAAGTAAACCCTTCCATTTAGAAACTCCTGTCTCTGAATCCTGTGACATTATCTTAAAAGATTTTATTAATGATTTTCTGCCTCCCATCACTCCATTTTTCTACATTCCTTTGCTCTCTTTGCAAGTGCTATTATTCAGGTGTTGAACCTCCTAGAATGAACTTCCAATTTTCTTATCTTCCTCTCCTATTTTTCATCTGTCTGTTCTTTTGCTCTATGTGGTAGGCTAATGTCCTTAACTGTATGCTCTTTGTTTATTTTTAAATTTTAAAATTTATTTTATTTTGTTTATATATTTTACTTCAAAATATTTTTTCCTATGGTGCTTTACATTTTAAGAGCTTGTTTTTATTCTCTAAATATTTTTTTCTTGGAGGACGTACATCTTGCTTCATGGATATAATTTGTCTTATCTCTCTGCTGATATCAATGATGATTTCTTTTTAGTGTGCTATCTTTTAAAAATATGTCTGCCTAGTGTCCATTCATTCCAATTTTTTTTTACTCCTTTGGTTGGTTTGGTCTCTACTTCATATGGGAGAAGATATTCTCAGATGGCAGTTCTGTGATCTCTGGTTGTGATCAAGGAAAGAGGAGTAAAAAGTCATTGGAAGTAGTAGACATATGGATGAGATTGCCAGCTTCAAACTTCATTGCAGGATGACCTAGGAGAGCTAATGATGGTTTGCATGTCATGTAATTCCATATTTTCATTAGGTACTCAAGTGTTTAACTATGCTTAGAATCTTCCTTTCCAGCTAATTTCTCTTTTACCTTCTCCAGACAATAAAACTTGGGATTTTCTGGGGCCCCTGGGTGGCTCAGTTGGTTAAGTGTCTGCCTTTGGCTCAGTTCATGACCTCAGGGTCTTGGAATCAAGCCCCGCTTTGGACTTCCCTGCTCAGCGGGGAGTCTGCTGCTCTCTCTCCCTCTGCCCCTCTGCACTGCTAGTGCTCTCTCTCTCTCTCAAATGAATAAATAAAAAAAATCTTAAAAAAAAAAAACAACTTGGGATTTCCTCGGGGTTGCAGAAAGAGTAGCCACCTAAAGTGATGGAGTAGGAGAAAGTATCTCGGGCTTTAGGGATCTAACTACTCTTTACACACTTTTCTTCCATCTCGCACCTTATTTTAACACCACACCCTTCACTCCAATTCTGCCACATCTTGAGGCTTCGGGAGATTTTCCAGTTTAAATTGGATTGTTCCTCAGATAAATTGTATGACTCTCCACCAATTTTTGTTTCTTTATAGATAGCTTGTAATTTTATTTCTCCAGATGCTTGAGAATTTTTCTCTTAATCTTCAAAATTAAAACTTTTTTCTCTGTATTGTAGAAGGACTTTTCAATTTTGTCTTCTATATCATTAATTCAGTGTTTTACAAAACATATTTATCTCCAACATACATTTTATTTGGATATTGCATTTTTTTCCAGCTTTAGAGAGATACAGTTGACATACAACATTGTGTAAGTTTAAGGTGTACAATGTTTTGATTTGATACACTCATATATTTCAAAATGACTACTATCATAGTATTAACTAACACCTGCATCACTTCACATAATTACTGTTTTGTTTTTATGCTGAGAACATTTAAGATTTACTCTCAGCAACTTTCAAGTATATAACACAGTATTATTAGTGATAATCACTATGCTGTACATTAGATCCCCAGAACTTAGTCATCTTAAAGCTGGAAGTTTGTATTTTCTGACCAGCATCTCCCCTCATCCCACCCACTCCCTATAGCCCCTGATAAGCACCATTCTGGTCTCTGTTTCTATAAGTTTGGCTTTTTTAGATTCCATATGTAAGTGATATCATAGAGTAGTTGTCTTTCTCTGTTTGACTTCTTTCACTTAGCATTATAGCTTCAAGTTTCATCCATATTGTCACAAATAGCAAGATTTCCTTCTTTTTTAAGGCTGAATAATATCCCATTGTGTATATATATATACATATACATTGTGTATATATTATCTATTCATCCATTAGTGGACACTTCGCTTGTTTTCACAGCTTGGCTGTAGTGAATAATGCTGCAATGAACATGAGAGTGCAGAAATCTCCTTGAGATCCTGTTTTCAATTCTTTTGGATAAATACCCAGAAATGGGAATCTTGGATAATATGATAGTTCTATTTTTATTTTTTGAGGAACCATCATATTGTTTTCCATAATGGCTATACCATTTACCTTCCCACCAACAGTGCCTAAGAGTTCCCTTTTCTCCACATCCTTGACAACTTGTTATCTCCTGTTGTTTTTATGATAGCCATCCTAACACATGTGAAGTGATAACTCATTGTGGTTCTGATTTGCATTCTCTCAATGATTAGTGATGTTGAACACCTTGCTATGTACCTGTTGGTCATTTGTATGTCTTCTATAGAAAAATGTCTATTCAGATCCCCTGCTTATTTTTAAAATCAGACTGTTTGTTTGTTTTTGCCGTTGAGTTGCATGAGTTCTTTATATATTTTGGATATTAACCCTTTATCAGATATATGATTTGCACATTTTTTTCTCCTGTTCCTTAGGCTGCCTGTTCATTTTGTTGATGATTTCCTTTGCTGTATAGAAGCTTTTAAGTTTGATGTAGTCCCACTTATTTATTTTTGCTTTTGTCGCCTTTGCTTTTGGTACCATATCTAAAAATCACTGCCAAAACTGATGTCACGGAACTTACCCCTTACATTTTCTTCTAGAAGTTTTATGGTTTTAGGTCTTATGTTCAAGTCTTTAATCCATTTTGAGTTGATTTTTGTGTATGGTATAAGATAGAGGTCCCATTTCCTTCTTCATGTGTTCAGTTTTCCCACCACCATTTATTGAAGTGACTATCCTTTCTCATTTTTGAATATTGCATTTTTTTGTTTCTTTGTGATCTCTTCGCACCTCGTTCTCTCTCATTTAATCTCTCTTATTTCTTTTTAATCTCTTCTTTTTGATAGCATTGTCATTTCCATCTCAGGGGGCCATATTATTATTGTTCACTTTAGTTCTATCAAGCTTCCCATGGGTAGAAATTCCTCTTAAAATCTGGCAAATATTTGACTGTTAGTCCTAGGCTTTGATTAATTACTTTAATTTCATAGTATACAAAGATAATTTAGTAAGAATTTGGGAGATGCTTTACCAGGACTTGGCAAATAAATTGCATATTAAATTGGCAATTAGGCTTTTTGCACATATAAGTTAATAAAACTGAGTACTTTTTCCCTGATTCCATCACCACTACATGCCCCTAACAAGAACATAGCTCTCATGGTAGTACACCCAGGAGATGTACTGGTATAGCATTAAAATAAACCTCAATTAGGAGGCTCGTCAACATTCCAGAAGTGACAGCAAAGCCTCAGATGTTCTCAACTCCTTTGTACCAGTGCTATAGAACGACTGAATTGTTGAAAAGTAGACTTTGAGGCACACCATTGTTTTATTGAAATGCACACTGAGGTTAAAAGAGTTTAAAAGAAGGATAAAAGGAAGGCCTTTTAGCTAGTTTGGTCGGGAAGAGACTCGAAGTTAAGAGTTTTGCACTGTCTAATGCTCATCTCATAATGAGTGGTATTCTTGTAGAGTGGGAAGCAGAGGAAGGAAAGCCTTGCTTGTGGTTTCTTTGTTATTAAAGCAGAGACTTACTCACTAACTCAGCATGGGATTCTATTTTCAAGGGGATGACTAGAGGATGACAGAGTCCAGGGCTTGACACACCTTTCCTGAAGTGTTAAAACCTAAGGGCTTTAGGGGAGCTTGGGTGACTCAGTTGGTTGAGCATACAACTCTTGGCTTCAGCTCAGGTCGTGATCTCAGGGTCATGATATCGAGCCCCACTTCAGGCTCCCGGCTCAGTGGGGAGTCTGCTTGAGGTTCTTTCCCTCTCTCTCTGCCCATCCCCCTGATCTCTCTGTCTCTCTAAATAAAAATTAAAACAAAACATAAAAACCTAAGGGTTTTGAACTGTTTTCCAGTGGGGACCAGTCTAAGACAATTCAAGGAATGTATGGCGCAGTTCTAGGGAAAAAAAAGTTATGGGGCTCAGCTTATGATTCTCCATCCAGAGACAGATGTTGAAAAATTATCTTGTGCTCGTTTCAGCAGCACATTTATTAAAATTGGAACAACACAGAGTTTAGCATGGCCCCTGTGCAAAGCGGACAGGCAAATTCATGAAATGTCCCATATTTTTAAAAAAGAAAGAAAGAGAAGAAAAACTGACTTGTATCTTTCTCCTTTTCCTTTTTCCCAGTTAGTCTGCTGTCCAATTAACATATTCAGAGCACTGTACATAAAATCCCACTTGGTTCAAAACAACGTGAGTCTTCTTGTCTGACCCCGGTTCCTAAATTCTCAGTGGAGCGACAGTGTATTGTTTGTGAAAGAAAGTCAGTTCTAATTTATTCTGATTTCCCTTTGAATACATTTCAGAATCACCAAAGCAAACCTAATGGTAATTTTGAGATTGATCAGTCATAGAGCTTTGCTGAGGGGAAGTTCTAAAAATCAAATGTAGCCGGCTTGATCTGTGCCCTGGCTTGTTTATGTCTTCATGCCCATTGGCCCGTCACTTTCATCATTTGGGAATAAGAATTGATTTCTCTTTTGGAGGGTGGGGGGAGGAAGCAATTAGATTGTATAATTTAGGGAAAGGAGATAGAATAAGTAACCATCAGAGAACAGAACTGAAAGATAAGAATTTTAGCATTTCTGTTGCTGTTATTTGTTTACTTGAAACTTGAGGCCACTTGACTTGGATGGGGACATTTACAGTTTTGAAAAATCAAAAAATAAATTTGGCAAATGTAATTTTTAAGTAAAGTCATTTAACTCGTTCTCTTTCCCTCCACATATTATATTCCAGGGTACCCAGATTCTTAAGGCTTTGCTTATAAAGCCATTCAGAGGTCTCTGGATTACAACAGGACAAATCTTGATTCCATTTCATTCATAGTTTTTAATTAAAAATATGCATTCTTGCATTCATTCTAACAAACAATTATCTTGATGGAGTACCTCAACATATGGGCCATGCACTTTGCTCAGCATACAAATCTAATACATAGCTCCTACCCTCAACAACTTTACAGTCTAGATGGGGAGACAACAGGTGAAAAAATGTTGGAGTATAGTATGGTACATACAGAGGTTTATCTGTATGTAACAAAAGTTACAGCTTCAACTGTACATCACAGAAAGAGGCGTAAGCGCAACATGGCTTTTATTGGCTCATATAAATGAAATGTTCAGGGGCAGGTCTTCCATTGTGTGCTTAAATACATGCCCATGTGTCCTCATCTTCAGTCCTTTCAGAGTAGTCCTGCCTTTGCCAGGCTCACATCATTATCACAGCCTGTCTTTAGGAAAATACTCTGTTTTCCCTATTGCTAAAACCGGAATTTTTTTTTCTTTTTTTCTTTTTTTTTAGAGAGGGAAGGAGAGTTAGGGAGGGGCAGAGGGAGAGAGAGAATTTTAAGCAGACTCCATGCCCAGTGCAGAGCCTGATGCAGGGCTGGATCTCAGAGCCCTGAAATCATGACCTGAGCTGAAATCAAGAGTCAGACGCCAAAACCAGAATTTAATTTCATCATTAAATCGGTCCAATTTTTTTTGTGAATGCCTCCCTTAGTCTAGAGCTTCATTTGGTGTCTCCAAGCACACTGGATACTATAGTAATACTGGTATGCCTTGAATAAATTGTACATGTGCTGAGGTATTGAATCTCTTCTGCCTTGAAGTGCAGTCAGGCAGAGACTGAGCTAGTTATCTGTGGCTTAGACCAGCTCCATTCTTTTATGTCAATGTGGCATTCTAATAATATTTTGTGTTTGTTTGTTTTTGTGGCCCATACCATGGACAAAGATTGGGAGGTGTTGCCCTAACTCGTTTTGATCACTAGAGAATTACAGCACTCTGCTCAGTCCATCCCTGAAACTCGATGGTGTCAATTTAATGTGAATTCTATGGATGGAGAGTGGGGCAAGAGGTGTGATTCCTCTGGGACACATTTGAGAGGTTGTTAGCAGAGTTAGGGAATTAAGGTCTGATTCTATGTGTCATTGTCAGGAAATTGGAGTTTTTCTTGCGCTTTAGAAATAAAATATCATAGAGCTTGAGTTTGAAGTGTTTCTCAATGCATACATTGGCAAAATACTTGTAAGAGTGCTGCCTTTTTACATTATAATAGTTAAATCTTAGGATAGTCTTTAAGAAAAATGCTAGTTTTTAACTTGCAAAGAAATAAGTAATTTACATTAGTTTAAAAATAATAAGGGGAAGCTTAGGAGGGGGAGGGCTTGAAGTGGAATCTTTCAACAAAAGGCCACTCTTGTGTGCAGTTCTCTGCTCCACGGGCTTGACAAGTACCTGGTGACTTCTGCACTACCATCATCTAGAGGCCTGGGACATGCTTTTAACTGTCTGGGGGACTGCTAAGAAACTCGTTCCTTAGGGTTATTGCAAATAAGAAGATCTGATTAGCCAATTATTCCTTTGTCTGAAAGAGGCCATTAAATTTGATGAAGGAAGCTGTCAATGCATTAAAAGGTACGACTGAGTGAAAGGTGAGAACAGATGCTGACAAGTATGGTAAACATAAGACACACCTGACAAGACACAGGACAAGCTGAGCAAATGGCTCATAAAGCTGATTTCTCAGGAGGACAGTAAAATCCTTCTTTTCAAGTAGTTTGGCTTTTTACTAAGCATTTATATAGAGACAGGGTCTACTCAGGAAAGTGGACTGCATGTTTTTACTAGATTTTGCAGACATCAGTCTTGTATAATCATTCTTTATTATTGTACTAAATCTGTTAAATTCTTATAGTCTTTTTCCTTTACATAAACATTTTCTCTTTAAAAACAGATATTTGCTCTTTCTTGAGCATAATAATTGATTTTGACAGTTACTCTTCTATACCTCCTTTAAAAGTCATGAAGAATTGGGTTTCTGCTGTAGTGACAGTTGACATAAGGTAATGATTTAGAAATAATTACAAAGAGAAAGTGGCCTGAGGAAGATCCAACAACTTCCCTTTCTACTAAGAAATTTTAGAGCTACTGCTTTATAACTCCTCTAGTTATAGATGATTTCATCCCGTAACCCCTATAGTAATGGTTGTTATTAATATCAAGGCCTCAAAAGGATTAGAGATTTATTTTGTTTTTAAATAAGCACCCAGACATTTGGATGTTTATTCAAGGGTTATCTGAACCTCATTGGTCTGGAAAACATTTTAATTTGTGAACATTTGGTAGCTTCTTGCAAGATTTGTAGCTTTGGACCACCTCTGGGAGACTTTGGGTCACTTCGGAAGTCGGACTTCTCGGTAATTTTTCCTAGTAGTCTGATGCTCTCTCATCGTGCCGTCTAATGAGACATCTATGTGTTTATTGGTGAAGACTGTGGTCAAATGCCGAGTTTTGCCTAGTGGCTTGGCCATCAGTGCTACTGGGCAAGGGCTTCTCTCTAATTCATACTCCTTTATTAGCAATGTAATGCTAGCTACTGAAACAAATAAAGCCCAGATTCTCTGTGGCTTCACATAATAGACATTTATTTCTCACTCCTCTCAGGTCAAAGTGGCAGCACAGACTTCTCCCTGCACCATGTAGGGACCAGACTTAGGAAACGCTTGGCATTCATGACTATCCGTAGCCTCAAATCCGGCCTGCAGGCAGGAGAAGGGAGAGTGGAGAATCTCATGACAGAAATGTTTAAAAATATATCTCTTTGGCTCACTTTTTAGCTTGGAAATGGAGTCTCAGGCGTCCAACCAAGACAAAAGGTGTTGGAAAATGTGTAGTTCCTTACTGGACGGCTGCTTCTTGGTGACAACAGCACATGAGGGAAGAAAATCACAGATACTCGATGGACAATAGCAGCCTCTCCACAACCTCTGGCTGACACTTAACTCAGCAGCTTCAGGTGCTTACGACACGTGCGCTGAATGACAAAAGACCTTGGAAATAAGTCTTCCTCACCTTTCAGTGGACCTTCAGTTTGGAAAGTCAGGAAAAGTCCCCTCTCATTTTTTTTAAGTTTTTATTTTTAATTCCAGTTAATTAACATACAGTGTTATATTAGTTTCAGCTGTACAATATAGTGATTCAACAGTTCTATACATCACCCGGTGCTCAGCACGAGTACGCTCCTTAATCCCCGTCACCTATTTCTCCCATCCCCCCGACTAGCCTCCCCTCTGGGAACCATCAGTGTGTTCTCTGTAGTTAAGAGTCTGTTTCTTGGTTTGCCTCTCTCTCTCTTTTTTTCCCTTTTGCTTATTTGTTTTGTTTCTTAAATTCCATATATGAGTGAAATCATATGGTATTTGTCTTTCTCTGACTGGCTTATTTTGTTTAGCATAATACACTCTAGCACCATTCACGTTGTTGCAAAGACAAGATTTCATTCTTTTTATGGCTGAGTACTGTTCCATTTTATATATGTACCACCTCGTCTTTATCCATTAATCATTTGATGGACACTTGGGCTGCTTCCATCATTTGGCTATTGTAGATAATGCTGCTATAAATATCAGGGTTAGTGTATCCTTTTGAATTAGTGTTTTTTTATTCTTTGGGTAAATACCTAGTAGGGCAATTGCTGGATCTTAGGTAGTTCTATTTTTAACTTTTTGAGGAACCTCCATACTCTTTTCCAGAGTGGCTGCACCAGTTTGCATTCCCATTAACAGTGCAAAAGTGTTCCCCTTTCTCCACATTCTTGCCAACACCTCTTATTTCATGTGTTATTGATTTTAGCCATTGAAACCAGTGTGAGATGACATCTCATTGTAGTTTTGATTTGCATTTCCCTGATGATGAGTGATGTTGAATATCTTTCCATGTGTCTGTTGGCTATCTGTGTGTCTTCTATGAAAAAATTTCTCTTTGTGTTTTCTGACCATTATTTAATTGAATTATTTGCTTCTGGGTGTTGAGTTTTATCAGTTCTTTATATATTTTGGATACTAACCCTTTATCAGATATGTCATTTGCAAATATCTTCTCCCATTCTGAAGGTTGCTTTTTGGTTTTGTTGATTGTTTCCTTCACTGTGCAGAAGCTTTTTATTTTGACAAAGTCCTAGTAGTTTGTTTTTGCTTTTGTTTCCCTTGCCTCAGGAGACATATCTAGAAAGAAGTTGTTACTGCTGATGTTAAAGAAGTTACTGCCTGTGTTCTCTTCTAG